TGAGAAGAATGTGTATCCTGTTGCTTTTGGATGTAGAGTTCTGTAGATGTCTGTTAGGTCCATCTGTTCTAGTGTGTTGTTCAGTGCCTCTGTGTCCTTACTTATTTTCTGTCTGGTGGATCTGTCCTTTGGAGTGAGTGGTGTGTTGAAGTCTCCCAGAATAAATGCATTGCATTCTATTTCCTCCTTTAATTCTGTTAGTATTTGTTTCACATATGCTGGTGCTCCTGTATTGGGTGCATATATATTTATAATGATTATACCCTCTTGTTGGACTGAGCCCTTTATCATTATGTAATGTCCTTTATCTCTTGTTACTTTCCTTGTTTTGAAGTCTATTTTGTCTGATACTAGTATTGCAACACCTGCTTTTTTCTCTTTGTTGTTTGCATGAAATATCTTTTTCCATCCCTTGACTTTTAGTCTGTGCATGTTGTTGGGTTTGAGGTGAATCTCTTGTAAGCAGCATATGAATGGGTCTTGCTTTTTTATCCATTCTATTACTCTGTGTCTTTTGATTGGTGCATTCAGTTCATTTATATTTAGGGTGATTATTGAAAGGTAGGTACTTACTGCCATTGCATGCTTTAAGTTTGTGGTTACCAAAAGTTCAAGGTTAGCTTCTTTACTATCTTACTGTCTAACTTAACTCGCTTATTGAGCTATTATAAACATGGGCTGATGATTCTTTATTTCTCTCCCTTCTTATTCCTACTCCTCCCTTCTTCATATGTTGGGTGTTTTGTTCTGTGCTCTTTTAAGGAGTGCTCCCATCTAGAGCAGTCCCTGTAAGATGCCCTGTAGAGGTGGTTTGTGGGAGGCAAATTCCCTCAACTTTTGCTTGTCTGGGAATTGTTTAATCCCTCCTTCATATTTAAATGATAATCGTGCTGGATACAGTATTCTTGGTTCGAGGCCCTTCTGTTTCATTGCATTAAGTATATCATGCCATTCTCTTCTGGCCTGTAGGGTTTCTGTTGAGAAGTCTGATGATAGCCTGATGGGTTTTCCTTTGTAGGTGACCGTTTTTTTTCTCTCTGGCTGCCTTTAATACTCTGTCCTCATCTTTGATCTTTGCCATTTTAATTATTATGTCTTGGTGTTGCCCTCCTTGGGTCCCTTGTCATGGGAGTTCTGTGGTTTCTGTGGTCTGAGAGGTCCTTTCCTCCCCTAGTTTAGGGAAGTTTTCAGCAATTATTTCTTCAAAGACACTTTCTATCCCTTTTTCTCTCTCTTCTTCTTCTGGTGTTCCTATGATGCGAATATTGTTCCGTTTCGATTGGTCACACAGTTCTTTTAATATTCTTTCATTCCTGGAGATCCTTTTATCTCTCTCTGCATCAGCTTCTCTGTGTTCCTGTTCTCTGTTTTCTAGTCCATTAATAGTCTCTTGCATCTCTTCCATTCTGCTTTGAAATCCTTCCAGAGCTTGTTTTATTTCTGTATTCTCCCTCCTTAGTTCTTGTATATTTCTCTGCAAGTCCATCAGCATGGTTATGACTTTTGTTTCGAATTATTTTTCAGGAAGACTAGTTAAATCTATCTCCCCAGGTTCCTTCTCAGGGGAAGATGTAGAAGATGTCGAAGCTGTCTGGGTTAGTGTTGTCTGGATCAAATTTTTTTGCCTTTTCATGTTGATATGTGCAATGGTGAGCTATTGACTCATCTGTCAGCTGGGGAAGCCAAGACTTTCCACTTGCTCCTGGCCTTTATTTACTGGGACAACTGCGACCCCTAGTGGCTTGTATTTGGCAATTGCGTGTAGACTGTGTCTCTGTATCTTGCCTGGCCACTATTGAGGAAGCTCCCTTGCTGTGGGCGTGGCCAGCCTCAGGCTACTGCTCTGCTATGGCGGCACCCCTGAGGTGCAATGGACAGGGGGCTGTTTGGCTGTTTACCTCCATGAGGGGTCTCACAGCTGTTGCCCAGGGGGTTAGTGCACCCAGAGTTCCCTGGAATTTCCAGCTGCTGGACTGTGACCTGGGATGCTTCCATCCGGCGGTGGGGTCCCTGTCCCTTTAAGACTTTCAAAAAGCACTCGCTTTTCTTTGTCCCAGGAGCGCTGGCTGCAGGACCCACTCAGAGGTCTTGCTGTCCTGTGTCCCTAGTTTCCAGCACCCCACGCATGCACTGTGTGTCTGCGCTCTGGTGTGGATGGCTAGGGCTGGGTGTTTAGCAGTCCTGGGCTCCCTCTCCCTCCCTGCTCCGACTCCTCTCCTCCCGCCAGGAGCTGGAGTGAAGGGCGCTCGGGTCCTGCTGGGCTGTGGCTTGTATCTTACCCCTTTCACCAGGCCCTGGGTTCTCGCAGGTGTGGATGTAGTCTGGCTGTTGTCCTGTGTCTTCTGGTCTCTCTTTTAGGATTAGTTGTATTTGTTGTATTTTCAAAAGTATATGTGTTTTTGGGAGGAGATTCCCACTGTCCTACTCCTGCCGCCATCTTGGCTCCGCCCTGCTCATGTAATTTTACATTAATAATAGCAAAAAAATAAATAAATAGCCAGGAACCAAAAAAAAAAAAAAAGGTTGAAGACTGCTGGACCCAAAACCTTAGGAGATACTCCTTGAATTCCTCGGGAGGAGCGTCCTGTTGGTAGGAACAGCAGCAGATCTTGATTACAGAGGAAAAACATGAGAAAGAAATAATGTTCTTTTCTCTTTTATTCTCTTCTTCATGAAAATTCATTCAGTGATTCCGAGAAAGATTTCCAAGAGAAGCTTTGACTGTGTGGAAGGTGAACTGGTAAATATTTTCACTTTTACCCCCATACCACACGCTGGTGACTGTAGAGTATTTAGCCACCATTTGAGCATTTTTGGTGCTGCTCCTGTTAGGTTAAAGGGACTGACTACCTTACTGGTTGTCTCAAATGGTCAGATACCACTGCTTTCCATTATAATAGTAAAATCCACTGTGCATTCATTAACCAAATGAGGTAGGCACTGTTATTGTCTCAGGTTGAAGGACTGGCTCTATGGCCTTGGGCAAGTCTATAAATTGCAGGCTGCAAGGTTTTGGGGTTTATTTTTTAAGTTTTTTTGTAGAAGTTGTATGTAAATACTAAAAGATAACAGAAGAGTGAATTTCCTAAACTGCACCCAACATCCTTGTCACTCTGTACCCACAGGTGGCACACCCAGGCTTGTTTTATCTGCTCCCCCTATGAAATATTTCAAAGCAAATCCAGATATTTCACTTTCATCTGCAGATGCTTTAGTATGAATCTCAGAGTTTTTTCAAAACACAACCACACCACCATTATTTTTCCTGAAAACAAATTCCTTCATCTTGGCAGAGGTGCCATTGGGTTGAGTCAGGATGCTGATCCACAGTTCCATATGACTGGTTTGTCTCTCTTAAGATCTTGATTCACAAAACTTTTCCCTGTAACATTTTTTTCTTGACGTTTATTTGTTAAAGAAACCAGGTTGTCTGTGGAACGGCCACATTCTGGATTTTGCCCTGTGTGGTCGTTCACCATGTTCCCCTGCCAGCCATGTTTCCTCAAGCTGGCAGTGATGGCTGCACATGGGAATTATAAATGGGACTGGCCTAGCAGTCCTAGTCTGAGAAAGGTATTTGAAAGAATTATAAATCAAGTCATGCCTCCTCTCACCCTGTTTCCAGAATGGGTAAGAGAAGCAGTCAGTTTGGGCCCTGGATCTGAACTGGGAAATCTCACCAGTAATCCCAGAGCACACTCAGTGTTTCATGAATGTGGCATATTTGCATTTCTACGTTTGGTTTGGTTTAAATGTTGTTTCTTGGCTTTCCTGGGAAACAGGACCGTTATGACCTGAGTGGCCAGCGGAGGGCATTCCTCATGTGTGTGAAGAAGAACAGGTCTGGGGCCAACCGTGACATCACACTAATGAAGGAATGGCTGGGCCAGTGCCAATTTGAGGACACACTGTGCATCGATCCTGACAAAATGGTAACAGATTGAAAACAAAATGAAGACCTATAACTTGGATTTTATAATCTTCCTCCCCTTTTTCTAAGAATTGGGCTTTAGTGCCCAATGAGAACCAGGACCTGCTAAGCAATGGCTTGGATATCCTGGTGAAATTGCTGATGCTTCTGTAATTTCAAGTGTATGAGGTCTCGGCCCTCTGGGCTCCAGCTGTAGCTAGACCGTGCAGTTGAAGAGGGAAAAGGACCCAGGCAGGTGTCCTGAGCAAGGAGCCCAAGGACAAGCCATGAGTCCAGAGTGGGCAAAGATGCAGAGCGTGTGGGAGTGGGGAAGACCCAGGAGGCCGCTGTGAGAGGTCAGCAGAAGCCAGGCCAGAGGGAGCCAGCAGCCCTGGAGCTGTGAGCCCTTGTGGGACTCACTCAGGACCTTGGCAAGGGTCAGGGCAGGGGATGCCAAGAGCCGTAGGCAGCCGTGCACATGACCTTACTGGGTGACACAGAGAAAAGAAGGTAGAAGAGTGGTAGTGGGTGGGTGGGAACTGCATTCTTACCTGTCTGACCCTAACTGAGTCATGGCCTAGACCTGCCCTTATTTGGGGACAGTAGCCCTTCATAGATCCCAGGGATTACACCTAGTGAAATGTAAGGAACAGCAGAGCAGAAGGTGAGATGTAGCACAGACCCCCGGAGTTGGGATTCTGTCTCTTACTAGTTGTCACCTTAAATCTGGTTCTCAACTGAGAATGACTTTGTCTCCCAGAGAACAAAGTGATGTCTGGGGACATTTTTGGTTGTCACAACCGGCGGGTGCTTACTGCCATCTGTGGGTAGAAGCCAAGACTGTGGCTGAATGTCTCATGAATCCCAGGGCAGCCCCAGTGCAATAGTTGTAGAAACCCCACATTAAATTAAATCAACTACTTCTCTCTAAAATGGGCTTGATACTAGTAACTTAAATCTGTAGGGCTGTGGTGAGAATGCAATGAGCTGCTATGTGGAAAAGTTCCCAGAATAGTAGCTGCTTTATAGTAGTGCTCAGTAAGTTTCCATTTCATTTTTATTTCGAAGCTACAAATAGACTCCTTCATTTTCTCCAAGGACTGGACCAGAATCTCTTCCACCTTACTTGATAATGTTCTTTTGGCTTATTCTCCCAAAGGCCTGCAAGGGGGCTCTTTTCTCTCAGCAGTCTTATAGGCAAAACTCGTTCACTGTTTAAGTTTCATTTTCTAGATTATTAGTTTGGTTGAATATCTTTTGGCCAATTTTTTTCCTTTTGTAGATTACCTGTTTGTAACCTTTGCCCTTTTTCCTACTGGAGTTTCTTTTTCTTGTTCTTATTCTATAGTTATTTTCCTGGAATTCATTCATTTATGAAACAGTGCAAATACTTTCTCCTACCCTGTTACTTGCCATCTGGCTTTTTGTTGTCTTAAGTCACATGGAAGTCTTTTAATGTTTGTGAGTAAACTTGCCAACCTTTCTGTCTGTTGACTTCTTGGCTGAAACCTCATGCTTCCACAACTTAAAATTAAAAAAAAAAACTTTTCAGTAATATTTTTATAATTTAAGGTTTACCTTTGACTCTTTGGAATTTTATTTTTGGAACAATATGAGGCAGGAGGTCTCACTTTATTTCCAAATGGATGGTTGGTTATCTCAACCAATTTATTGAATAATATGTCCTTCCCCCACGTACTTGAAATTCCACCTTTATTATGAAATAAATTCCTATAGTATGCTTGGATCAACTTTTGGACTCTAAAATATTCCATTGATAGCTTATTAATATGTCACTTACTCATGTATCTATCACTGTTTTACTCACTGTTATTTAGTACATTTTGATGTTTGCCAGGACCCATCCTTCACCCACTTCATTGCTTTTTTGGGGTGGAGGTTTGTGGGGGGGGGTGCTGTTCCTAAATGTTCTTGACTACTCTTTTTTTTTTTAGGACAAATTTTGCAATTTTTTATTAAGAATTTAGTTATAGTAAATACAACTATTTTTTTTTGTTTTTTCATTTTATTATCATTAATCTACAATTACATGAAGGACATTATGGTTACTAAACTCCCCCTTTCACCAAGTCCCCCCCACCACAAACCCCATTACAGTCACTGTCCATCAGTGTAGTAAGATGCTGTAGACTCACTACTTGTTCTCTGTGTTGCACAGCCCTCCCTATGCCCCCCCCACATTATACATGCTAATTGTACGGCCCCCTTTCTTTTTCCCTGCCCTTATCCCTCCCTTCCCACCCCTCCTGCCCAGTCCCTTTCCCTTTGATAACTATTAGTCCATTCCTAGGTTCTGTGATTCTGCTGCTGTTTTGTTCCTTCAGTTTTTCTTTGTTCTTATACTCCACATATGAGTGAAATCATTTGGTACTTGTCTTTCTCCACCTGGCTTATTTCACTGAGCATAATACCCTCTAGCTCCATCCATGTT